TATTATGTTTATGAATCAATAGACAAAATCGTAAGCATATAGCTTTGACCACGATTTCAGTTTAGGGATGCATGCGCATATACTGTAACCTACGAAGCTCCAACAACTTATGACAATTTTTTACAGTAGTTTTACACGGGTGTTAGACCGCCGTGCGTGCACGGCGTGAGCAAATCTATTATATATATATATATATATATATATATATATATGCCTGTTTATACGGCTTAAGAGTACGCATCAATTACTGAAGGTCTAGATTATTTAGCCGATCAATATTCAAATAATCTTATCTCTCTGCGGTCATTTCAATACATAACAAAGTACTAGTGTCATTCTTCAGTTAAAAATGAACAGAATCAAAACCGCACTATAGTCTTCTACCAACATGTTGTTCAATACTGTCTAAACTATGAATATTTAATTTATTTTAAAAGGAATTGGTAATATGATATTTTTGTTCGACACATCGAACCATACTATCTACAATGTAAAATAAAGGAACTTATATTAGCATATATAAATAAACTTGCAAACATAAGTACTTGACTAAAACGTGATTGTCAGATCAAAAAGGTATTGCCAGAAACTGAAAGTCGGAGTTTTTACAGTATATCCTAACAGAGGACTCGTGCACATTACACTACATGCTTAGCTGAACCATTGGATGAAGACAAGACAAGAAGAGGAGTAAGCTCATGGCCGTTGGATCATCAGCACCTGAGGAGTGCATAAGGACAAAGCTACCAGTTGTATGGGAATGAACCGCTGGCTAGCCCATACTGTAAGGTATGCAAACTCAATTCTACATCGGAAAATTAAAAGGTTCCAAGTCTAATATATAAACTTAGTGGATTACTCCTTTTATTGTCAATTGGTTTTAGAATGGAACCTTATTTGAACTTGTATATTGGGCTTGATGGAGAATTGAATTTTGAATTGTTCGTCCTAACCCATACTATGTTTTGTTGATCCGAATATTCTAAGAATTGATCGGTGATATCATAGTATATATGTATAGGTTGAGGTTGTTTATTGAACCCGTGAATTATTATATCTTCTCTCTTCATTGAATGAAAAAGCTATAGGCAGAAAATTACCTTCCCCTCACTTTTCATGGTTTTTATTGTTCCTTATACTAGATTTTGACACAAACAACGTAAAACAGTAAATTTGGAATCCAATGAGTTGCAAATCCATTCTTGGAATTTCAAGTGATCTTTTTTTCAAATTAATTAATTTATGACAATATATTTTATCACATCACATTGGTTTTTTTTAAAAAAAAAAGGGTCTGAAACTTTTTTCATGTAAATAAAAATAACAGAAAACAAGAAATAAGGGGGTCGCTGTCTTCAAAGGGAACCAACATTATGTTGCATTAGGTGCCAACCTGATAAACACAATCACCATTACCATCATCATAACTCATCATTACCTCTTCCTTTGTAACATGGCAGCATGCCGTATTGTAATCCAACGGTCAAGAAAAAGTTGCCACTTTTTTTATGCCTTCACTCATCAGCTTATGCTTTTTAACTGAAATTACTTTCTTCTTACTTCATCTTTTGTCTTTGTTTCTATTGCAAATCCTTCAGTTTTTTTGAGTGTGTGTGTGTTTTCTTCTCCATGGAGCAGCAGCAGCAGCACAAGTTCAGCTGGTCGTCTGCCCTGTTATTGCTCTTAGCATCTATGATCAAGAGTACTTTCTGCTTCCAAGATGGTACGCCAATCTTTTTATTACGTCGTTACCATTCTCGGTCCACCTGACATTTTGTAGTATGTTGGGCACCTTGAGAACTTTGATCAGCACAAGCGTTTTTGGTAGTGTAGTGCAATATCATGAACTCATCGTGAATTCCGAAAAAAAAAAAAAACAGGTTTCTTGAGCTTAACATGTGGAAACACAAACTACGTGGACTCGTCGAACATTTCATGGACGCCTGACGGTTATTACACGAGCAATGGCAACACAGCGAGTGTGACTTTTCCTGACGGCTCTTCCTCAACAACTCTCCCTATACGATACTTCCCGGATTCTTCACGTAGAAACTGCTACCGGCTGCCAAGTTCAAACTTGACCTGGTCTCCAATTCTTGTTCGGGCGAATTTCGTGTACAAAAACTATGATGGACTTAACAAGCCTCCTGTGTTCTGGGTCTCTTTAGGGACGGCCACGGCCACCACAATCAATCTTGCTCATGTTGACCCTTGGGTTGAGGAATTTATATGGCCGGCTAATGATAAGGATGTTTTGCCATTGTGTTTCCACTCGATTTCTAATGGTGGATTTCCGGTTGTCTCGTCGGTTGAAATCCGTCCTCTTCCGGTCGATGCTTATGGTGTGGCTTATAATGATAGGAGGATTCTCAAGAAGTTGTTTCGGTTAAATTGCGGGTACACCGACGGGCTACTAAGGTAAGGAGCTGAGGTGTTCCTATTGGGAGTTTGTTTTTGCTTTCATAGGATAAAGTTGAAGTCAGTTAAATAAGTATCCATTTTTGTTTGCAGATGCTGAAAAATGTTGTGTATACTTTTCGTAGTTTTCCAAAAAAACACACGATTGCACGAATGCTATTTTTTCGATTTTCATAGTTAAACTATAAGAACCCGTTTTTGCATTTTAGCGTCGAAAAAAAAAAAAAAAAATTGAGAATCAGTATTAATGAAGAATTTGCATTTAGAAACTCCCAAAATGAACTTATTTTTTCTTTCAGCTAAGCCATCAAAACCAGGTTTCATGGTTTTCTGATAAAACGTAAAAATTCTTCAAACAGAATGTGTGTGTATTTTTTCTTGAAGGTATCCTTTGGACCCGTATGACCGAATATGGGAAGCCGACAAGGATTTCTCTCCTTACCACGTGTCTTCAAGTTTCGACACTCAAACGAACTTCACCTCATCCAACATCAAAGAGAGCCCTCCCAATGCCGTTCTTCAGACAGCCCGAGTTTTGGCAAGAAGGAACAACCTCGTATACTATATGTCTCTAAACAATAACAATAATCAACGAGATTACCATCTCACCCTCTACTTTGCTGGCATTCTACCTGTGGCCCCAACATTCGACGTGCTAATCAATGGAGAACTAGTCCAATCAAGTTTCACTGTCACGAGATGGACGGCCACTAGCCTATCCTTCACCTTAAAAGGAATCAGGACACTAAACATCACTTTGAGAGCAGTTAACTACTATCCTTTGGTGAATGCCATTGAGGTCTATGAGATCATTGATATTCCACTAGAAGCTTTTTCCACTACAGGTTCTTCATCATATCACATTCTTTAATTTATTTTATTTTATTTTTTTTTTCGTTATGATTTTGGTTCTTAATGTTGATGTCCATATATGTTGCAGTTTCGGCTCTTGAGGTTATACAGAAGTCGATTGGCATGGACTTTGAATGGCAGGATGATCCTTGTTCGCCTACACCATGGAAACACATTGAATGCCAAGGGAATTTAGTCACCTCACTGTATGTTAATTTTGCTACTTTAGGGAATATTATAAAACATACCACTGCTAAGTAAGGTTATTACAGAAAAAGCCCTGCCCTGCCATTAGCTTCTGTATTAGACTAAACTTTTGGGGCAGTTTTGTAGTTACATAGTTTATTTTGTTTTCTTCATCACTTCTGTTAAAATCTGGTGGTATGCAGGGAACTTTCTGACATTGAACTGAGGACAATCAGCCCTACATTCAGCGATTTACTTGATCTTAAAGCCCTGTGAGAAGTTTAGGCTTAACAATATGATCCATGTTTTACCTTCTTGATTACATATTATTGACGATTTTCTCGTGAATCAACAATATATCTTTTCGTGCAGAGACCTGCACAACACTTCCCTAGCTGGAGAAATACAGAACTTGGGTGGCTTGCAACATCTACAGAAACTGTATTATTTAGTCCTAACGAAATGTTGATCGTAAATTAATTCTAGCTGAAGAAAACTAGGCAGTCGTTTTTATCATTTCGAACTATGTTGTTCTTACAAGACAACGATGTACTAAATACTGCAGGAACTTGAGCTTTAACAACATAACTTCTTTCGGTTCTGAGTTGGAAGACTTGATCAGCATTCAAGTCCTGTAAGTTTTCACTGAATTAAGTTTACAAGAAGCCATTTTTTAGCGTCAGGATTGAGATTATCTCGATGGGACCATTTGATTCCAGTTTTTATTCTTAATGATATGATATTAGATCAAATAAAATAAGAAAAAATGTTGGACCTATGTGCGCAGGGACCTGCAAAACAATAGTTTGCAAGGAACAGTTCCAGAAAGCTTGGGGGAGCTAAAAGACCTTCGACTATTGTAAGTACCTATAATCTTCATGATAAACTAAACTTTCCTTGCAGACAATAGGGCCTTTTTGGATAGCATTTTCTCATTTTGAATTAACTGTTGATACACATTTGATTACTATTATTGTTATCTTTTATTTCTTTTCGGGTGCAAACTTAAGGAACCTGGAGAACAATAAGCTACACGGGCCACTGCCACAGTCACTTAACCGAGAAAATATTGATCTCAGGTGATCAACTTTAGTTGCTATCCTTTCGATATTTAGTTGCAAAAGGAAAAACCTGGGGAGGTCTTATAATTAAAAAACACACATTTATTGAATAAACTTTGCAGGACAACAGGGAATCTGTGCCTCTCATTCTCATTATCGACATGCAGTGAACTTTCAAGAAACCCTTCACTTGAAGCTCCACAAGTCACCATCTTTACCCCAAGAAAGCGAAAAAACCATGGCCACTTAGGGATCCTACTTGCTTCAGTTGGAGGAGCTGCTTCTATTCTTGTGTTGATCGCATTTTCTGCTCTGTTGTACATTAAGAGGAAAAAAACCGAAAACTCGTACGCACCAAGTAAGACAACCAACAACTTACATATTATATTAATCAAATGGATATGGAGAACTTTAGTTTATTAAGCAGATTTCTTTTTATTCTTACATCTTGTAGAATCGGGAATGGATATGCGCAGATGGGGTTCAGCAAGAATATTTACGTACAAAGAGATCAAAGCAATTACAAACAACTTCAAAGAGGCCATTGGCCGTGGTAGTTTTGGATGTGTGTATGTTGGCAAGCTTTCGGGCAGATTGGTAGCTGTTAAAGTTCGGTTCGATAAAACTCAGCTCGGAGCTGATTCATTCATCAATGAGGTCAGTAACTCAATCTGTTTTTGTCAAGAAAATTACGATTATACCATGCACCACCCAATCAAATATAAAGGAGCTATTACGAAAAACTGATCGATAAAGTGTTCTTTTAAAAGTTTATTTAACTTCACCTATCCTTATATCCAATATGACGAGTGCAACAGTAGTTCATGTTAATCCTCAGTATTTAAATTCTTAAGGTAACTTATTTTCTTGATATATTCTAAATCATCATTTTCTTTCATTCTTGGTTATTTTTGCCAGGTTTCTCTTTTATCACAGATTCGGCACCAGAATCTTGTATCATTGGAAGGTTTCTGCTATGAAGCGAAGCAGCAAATACTTGTTTATGAATATTTACCTGGAGGCTCGTTGGCTGATAACCTTTACGGTGTGTTCAAGTGGCTTCACTCATTATTCTTAACCGAAACTGCAAAAGGGACTGTCAGGATCCATCTAATTACCAACAGAATCAATTATCTTCCGAAAATACAAATCCAACTTTCTGATGTTTTTTTATGTTTTTGACACATGAACCCTCGGAGTGTTTCCTGAACAAACACATTTGGAACAAAGACTCATTATTTTTATGTTCCATTAATTCATTTTGATTCACCAACACACACTATGTTTTCTTGGAAAAACAGGTGCCAACAGCAAGAAACTGACGCTCAGCTGGGTTCGTAGATTGAAAATTGCTATCGATGCCGCGAAAGGTGAATGTTTATCTCATACTTGAACTGCTAATCTAATTATCTGTAGGAAAAGGCATTAGGCTAAAGCAAAATTACAAAAGTGAACGTTATAATACGCTTCGCATTGGCATAGGTCTCGAGTATCTACACAATGGAAATGAGCTGCGGATAATTCATAGGGACGTGAAGAGCAGCAATATTCTCTTAGACAAGGAAATGAATGCTAAACTCTGTGATTTTGGACTTTCTAAGCAAGTGACTCAATCGGATGTATCGCATGTGACCACGGTGGTCAAAGGCACAGCTGGCTATCTTGATCCAGAGTAGGCATTTCACTTATTCCGTCATTCTAATAATTACAAAAACTGTCCCTATGATTGTGAAAAAGCAGCTAATCATGCAAGTTTCTTGTAATTACTTCAATTTTTCAGGCTGTTTTTTGTAATTTATTCCATCTTAAATTTAAACAAAGTGTTCCACTCAAGGTTGATCCTGAATGTTGTGTTATATATATCTACCTTACCAGGTATTATTCTACTCAGCAGTTAACAGAGAAAAGTGATATATATAGCTTTGGGGTGGTGCTTTTAGAGCTGATATGCGGCCGAGAACCGCTCACTCACACTGGCTGTCCAGATTCCTTCAATTTGGTTCTATGGGTAAGGAAATAATAAGTTTCTCATGCATGTCTTCGTTCTTGTTATATTGTTCAGAGGGAAACCTCACCCAATTACCGTGTAGTTGTGCGCATATAATATCCAATTCCAAAATAGTGTTTAGTGTCTTGCTGAAAACATATCGAACAGCTCGTTTGTCCCGTTTGTAACACGATGTATGTGGAACAGGTTTATTCATTTTTGGAGTTTTGGTGCAGGCTAAACCATACTTGCAGGCTGGTGGGTTTGAGGTTGTGGATGAGTGCATAAAGGATAGTTTTGAGGCGGAGAGCATGAAAAGGGCTTCTCTAATTGCTTGCCGATCGGTAGAAAGAGACGCATTGCGTAGGCCGACTATTTCGGAAGTGCTGGCTGAGCTCAAAGAAGCCTACAGTCTACAGCTTGCCCATCTAGCCACCTCCGGTCATGTAAATTAATAAATAATCTCCATTGTTTTATTTCATGTGTTCATGAGGATGTTTATCATAGTATTTGTTTTGTTTGGAGTTGAGAGGGATAACTAATGGAGTGCAAGAGAACTAAGGATGTTGTCAGCACGAAATCTGTGCGTTGCTTGCTGCCATGGACCAAAAGCAAGCTATGTTTTAGTTGTGTTATGCTTTTTTTCAGTGCGATTGCGTACATTACTATATACTATTGAATGCTACTAAAAAATTAAAGGGATGATGGATATGAATTCAACTAATATAAACCTAGTTTTGTTTAACTATAGTTAAGTTTGAAAAAAAGTCGTATGGTTAGTTGTTAGTGGATATATTAAAATAATATTTCTATAAATATAATAAACTCCCTTAAAAGTATTAGTTGTTTCTTGAAACTTTTGAATTGCCAAGAATATCCTCATAAGAAGATAAGTGTTAAGGTTATTAATGTAATTTTCTTATTCATGTTTGGAAGTTACAACTTTTAATTATTATATTTAATTTTTGATTCTTATTATATTTTTAAATTCTTACACATACAAAACATTACTTACACAAATTAAAATATTTTAAATAATAATTTATTCTTAATTATATTATTCTGAATTAATCTACATATGATGTTAGGTTTCGATTTGATTATTTTCAAGGCAGTTTTAAAATGTAAGAGAAAAAATTATTTTAAGATTTCTTAAATAAAATATATGATATTTCATTAGTGTGAAATATATAATGCACCATATCATCTTTTATTTATAAATATTATATTGTTTACCATACAAATTTTTGGTTATAGTATTAAAATAATTGAACAGGAACAATTTAGTGAACATGCATATTTGTAAGAATGATTTAATCAAATATAATTATTCAACATACAAAATGTCAACTTTCTATGGAAAAAAGTTATTTGTTACGTAAAAAAAAATATGATTTTGACATAAATATTTGTTTAAATTATTCACTAAAATAATATGCATAATAATTAATATGATTTATATTTACCTCTTAATAGTATGTATAGTATAAATGTTTTTTATAATAATGTGTTACATGAATTAAAGTAATACTGAATTGTAATATAAACAAAAATAGATTAATTACAGAAATAAAATAAAATAACTGAAATTCTATTTTAAATCTTGAATTTTATAATACGTGTACTTATTAGATAATAGATACAATTAAAATTAATTAAATAAAAATAAATAGTGAATTTACTTTAAATATGAACCATTCATTAAAACTAGACTCATTAAATTTTCACATTTAGGATAGTCTTGAAAATCTGGGAACGAAGATAATGCATGTACGACAATTTTAGGAGATGCAACAATAATTTATGTTGGACAAGATATGTAGATAGATGAGTATATTTAATCAATAAAGATATTATTATTCCTAAGCTTTTTCATTTTTTTTTTTTTAAATAATTATGACTTTAAAGACATTTTCAAATATTTATGTGTCTCTTATATGACTAGAGAAAAATTATATATATCTAGGTATTATGAAATGTTATACTTGCAAATATGGCTAATTGCAACCACTATAATCAAAGTAATTGAGAACAAATTATTCAAACATTATGTTTTAGCTTCCAATCTACAATAAAAAAAAAAATGATCATTATAAATTATAGTTATAACAAATTCAAATTATTTTTCAAAGAGTATGATGCAAAAGGATGACATTAGAAAACTATATTTGATGACTATTAATGATAATTATTTTAAGCAAAAGTAGGGATGAAATGTTGACGAAGATATAAAAATAATGTTAAAATAAAATAAAATATGAAAAAATCATCATTACATAATTCATTTAAACTGGAATTAGTAATTATTCACATTTAGGATAGTCTTGAAAATTCGTGAATGAAGATAATGAATGTATGACAATGTTAGGAGATGCAACAATGTCGGAAAAGATATATAGATAGATGGGTAGCTTTAATCAATAAAGATGTTATTATTCCTATACTTTTCAAGTAAATTTTCTTTTTGAAATAATTAGTTAATTACGACTTGAATTAAAGACATTTCAAATATTTATGTATCTCTTATGTCATTATGACCAGAGAATAACTATATATATCTAATTATTATGAAATATTATACTTGCAAATATAATTACACTTGCAACCACATTAATCAAAATAATTGAGAACGAATTATTTAGACATAGTTTGTTAGCTTCCAATCGACAATAAATATAAAATAATCATTATAAATTATAGTTATAGCAAATTTGAGTTATTTTTCAAAGAGTATGATGTAAAAGGATGACATTAGAAAGCTATATTATGAAGACAATAATAGTGATCATTATTTTAAGCACAATGAAGATATCATTAAATAACAAAATCAAAGACTATAAATTTTTTTGGGATTTACATTTTCACTAAAAAAATATTAATTTTATTTTTGGTTTTCAACCCAATGTTTTTTTTTTAATTTTATTCATCATTGAGTTCAGATAATAGTATTAAATACTATATTTTATTATTCAATAAAATACACCAGTTTTTGTTAAACTAAATGAAAGAAAATTATATTATACCTATAAATATAAACTTAATACTAAAAATAATTTGAAAAAAAGTACCACGTGCACAATACGTGCATCTTCCTAGTAAATTAAAATAATTAAAATTGATTTGATGTAAAAGTAGGAGAAAATTATTGGAAGTGATGATTAGTTAAAATTATGTGAGTGGATGAATAGTGAATTAAAGTTAATGTGATGTGTAATAATGATTGGTTGATATTATTTAATTATATTGATAATATTGGAGATAGTGGAGTTGAATTAAATTTGAATTTTGAGTGAGATATTTATCGTAGAATTGATATACAATTACGCCCTAAGGATTACAAGAGAAGATGTATGAAGATGATTATATGGACTCGAACTTACTCGTGAGTTGCAACTGCAATTGAATTGGTTCTCTAGTATACTAACCTACATAACTCCGTAGTGTCTTTCGCTACTCCAGTTGCACCACCATCAATTTAAAATAGGTCATCTCTTGTGACCTGACACTTGCAAACTAGTTGAAGAAATGGTTGCAGAATCCCAAAATCCCTAACCGGCCCCGGGACGAGATGATGGAACCAATCTTGAGCTCCTCCCCTCAAAGTAACCAACAACGCCCTACACCTCATAACATAGGACTAAAGGACTTGAACATGTGACCTCCCAAAAAGTGAGAAAAAAATAATAACATGGTATCCACTAAACCGACAATGTTTTATTGGTGATATGTCAACAAGTAATATGAATAAAGACTGTATTAACTCTAAATATGCGTTTTTCAATTTTGCCCATTGATACACCAAATTGAAGTTGAGAGCATTGTTGTGATTAAAAAAGTATTTGTAAAAGGAATCTCCGTTGGGGAGATATAGAGGTTTAAAAATGTGGAAAATGTCCCGATTTTGCTCAAAATCAAATTAACATTAGAAAAATTTTCAATTTTTGGTCCCATGAGATAATGCGTGCTAGTGGCACGCAGAATTGTCAGGTTTTTCGGTGGTGATTGGGCGAGATAATCTGTTGTCGTAATAGTTATAATCGGAATCGTCGGGTCGCTATGCAGCTCGGTGAGATAATGTGATACCGCTACGGCTATACTGTGAATTGTCCAGTTGCCGCTACGTGACCCGATTTAAAGACGCGAGCTGTAAATATTTGTTGCTTAACTTGATACCGTGGAGTACGTAGTCAATTAAATAATACATCTATTGTACGAGTGAGATATTAAAAATGTTTTATATAAGAAGAATAAAATCGTTTATATGAATTTTGTATATGAATTTTGTTATGACAAATAGTATTGATTTTTTTTTTCCAAATGATAGAAGATACTCATAGCAAAATGGTCCGAATAAACGAGATACAATGAGAGAACTGGAACACATTCCGGCCTAGATAACCCAACATTAATACGTACATGCAGCCACACGAGGCGAATACAGTAGATATCACCAAAAGCTAAACCAAACAACCAAAAACACATACATAGCCACTGTCACTGAAGACCTAGCATATCATGGGAAACAAAAAAAAAAAAAAAAAAA